ACATACTCGGATTGCCACTAGAGGGTACCACTCCGTATCAGCACCTGGAACATCACGCCTCTATCCCCACCATTGCCGCCATAATGAAAATACATCCCAAAGAACTTGAACACAGGTTGGTAACGAGGAATCAAGTGTGTGGACTGACACAAAAATATTTGGAGCAGTACCTACATCATCTAGCTGATAAAGAAGAGTGGGAGACTTTCATGGACGTATTAGCCCTTACCGTGTATGGCGTCGTTTTGTTTCCCAAAGTAGAAGGCTTTGTGGATTATACCGCAATAGATGTCTTCGTAGCAAAAAAGACAAGATCAGAGAACCCTGTAACAGCAGTCCTCGCAGATGTTTATGGGACCATGAGTTTTTGTCATGAAAGGAACGGAAAGAAAATTCTTTGTTGTTTGCCGGTGCTGTATGCGTGGATGACTGCGCGCGTGGGTAAAGGGGTAGTTGATTGTCCGTTGAAAGGTCCGTCACACCAGAGGCTTAAAGACAGAGGAGGAAATGAGTGGGCCCATTTCTTTGCTGGTTTGAATGGGGAAAAGATAAAGTGGCGTCTTCCTTGGCTCGAGCTTAAACCCTCCATCCATCATTGTGGCAGCTTTCCCAATGTACCCCTCATAGGTACCAGATATTGTGTCAACTACAACCCCGTTTTAGTCCAAAGGCAATTCGGGCATCCCATAAGAGGGGCGCCTTCACCGGACTGTCTTACTACACTATTCATCTACTATGAGGACGGACGTTTTGCTGAAATGTTGAGGAAGGTCAGAAATGCTTGGGAAAGCGTGGTGCGGGCTGAAAGGGATTTAAGGGTTGGAGTAGTAGATAGCAAGGTCAGTTACCACACTTGGATTTTAGAAAGGGTAAATGAAGTCAAACTCCCTTTCAAGACAATCAATGATCATCTGGTCAAGGAAGGGCAACCTCAGGACGTAGAGAGTGAAGAGGTGAGGCAATTGAAAGCGGAGATGGAAGAACTAAGAGAGAGGAATGCCAGGTTAGAAATCGAACTACAAAGGATGCACAATGATTTTGTGAATATGAAGAATGATAAAGAGGATAAGTCGCGAGCCTACGAAGAAATGATTAAAAGTCGAGAAGCTGAAAGAGGATATACACTCCGATTGAAGCAGGATCTGGCGGCCGCAAGCAAAGAACTAGCCGTGAGAATAAAAGAGAAGAATACAGCTTTGGAAGAAGGGAAACAGTGGTAACACCTCTACGAAGAAGCCAAAACAGGTAAGCGAGAAGCCATGAAAAGACTAAGAGATGCCCAAATTCAAGTAGAAGAAGTAGGGCATCAGATGAAGGAAATGGCTACGTCGTTTGAGGCAGATTTGAACCAGGAACGGTGGAAGCGGGCAAGAGCTGAAGGAGAGCATCGGGACATGTTAAAACAGATGGAGGGTTATATTAAGGAGCAAGAGGAGCGATGGAAAATGATGGAGTGCGAAGAAAGTCATCAAGCCTTGATTAAATGGATGGAAGATCGCATTGCAGAACAAGAAAGGGTTGTGGATCATTGGAAGGAAAGTTTCTCCCAACTGGCTGCCTTAGCGAACGGAGCAATTGAGAATGTTCCAAGGATGGTGTCGGACGCCGAAGCGATAACTCACTTTTATAATCCGCCTGAAGAGATAAAACTTTTTAT